TCTTTCCTTTCAAAATAAGTAAGTTATGTCCATTATAGAAGACTATCTCCAATCCCAAGGCCATCTTATTTCACTTATTCCCTGAGGCTAAAAAACCCTCATTAATTAAACTAATTGAAGGCTGAACGCCAGCTCCATACGTGGAATTTATTAAGTTTGACACTACTGTGGTCAGTGGAAACAAATTAACATCATTAAGGAGCTGGAGAAAGTTCACATCCTATGCTGAGTTTTGCTGAGTTCAAACTAAATGAATGCAGTTCCCACTCTGAAGACTGAAGAGACAATGCAAAGGTGGAGAAGATGGCTTGGTGGAGAATGAATGGATTGGCTTATATGCCAATTCTATACGTACCCTTTTTAGCAGCTACTGTTTTACTTGGAATTTTCTCTGTTTGTTTTGGGGTAAAAGATGATGAGAAAACAGGAGCAGAATCCTCATCATCACTGTCCAATTTTGTTGTATCTACAATCACAGAGTATGTTTAGAATAAGATTAATTTACTTCATATTTTAAATCATCAATATTAATTATAGTAAAAATTAATCTCAGAAAAAGTGTTTTTGATACTACAGCTAGGCTACAGATGTACTGTGACTTTCTCATCCATCATACAAGCTTTGTTCCTCTAAGGATCAGAACCTCCTTCCCTTTTCCCCTTTATAAATGTGGACATCCTTCTTCTATAACTACTGCTTGAAGTTTGTGTACAGCACTCCCTAATATATTCCATTAATAGTTGCTATCAAGACTAAATAGATCCATGAAAACAAGCTCACCATCATCTGTCTTCTGAGAGTAAGATGGAAAAGAGAAGATGTTCCCAAAATCTTGGTTTTTCTTGTCTTGAGACATTTTTCTACTTGTAGACAGGAAAAGAAAATTATATGAGTTGCATTAACTACATACTGAAGTACATAGATAACATAATATCCACATAAGATTAAATTCCTGGTTTAGCATTTCTGGTATTTTTGTATACACTCACAGCAGTCAAACCCCTAAAATCATCATCCAACCAAGAAATTCAGGCATTCAAAATTAATAGATTCACATTTTTTCAACAGTCTGTATACCAGACTGGCACAAGACAGAAAACAGAAAATTTAAAAAAATGCCTTTTACCAAATTATATTACAGTGTATCATAATTTGGTAAGTCATATTTACCTCTGCATAGGTTAACTGCAAGGCTGAGATAACACATGCTTTAATTCCGGCACAGACGTATACATTTTATTTTACATGGCACATTTAGAGTTAATAACAGGCTGATGTTTCTCAGCTTTGTTCAGACACTTCTGCATTGAAAAATTTATTAGTAAAGAAATCCTGCTGAGTTACAATACTTACTCTGGAGATGGCTTTGATTTGGCTGGGGAGAAATCATATTCATCTTTTTCTAAACTGTCCGAGGGAACAAATTCATCCTCTCTGTCATTTGTAACTGGAGAAGATTTTACTTTGAGCTCATCCAAATCATTATTATTGTTGGCATCATCATCATCATCGGCATCATCTTCTTCTTCTGAGAAGTCAAAAGTGTACTTGGGCCTCTCAGCTGAAAAAAAATCACACATATATACATTTCAAGGTAGCTGTTTATGTTAACCCATAAATAAATCTAAGTGGAAGTCAGTAAACAACCCCTGCCTCAGAGTGTACAAGACAAAAGACTGAGGGATAATAAACTTGTCTGGAAGAATAAAGGGACATAATTTAAAATGTTACCAAACATCTAACATCATTTGTGGCTTGCTTAGACACCTTCAGCTAAAGGCATTATGTGTGTACTTTTAAGGAATAAGAAAACTGGAATTGTAAGTGAAGGATTCTTGAATCCATCATTTAAATATTCTTTCTAATCAGGTACTTGGAAAAATTGATAAAACATTTTCCAGAAAAATCTGTTTAGATTTTTAAACTACCAAATATTTATATATTTTCCAAACTTTCAGCCTTGTTGACTGTTCAGAATTGTTTTGATTAATTTTTACTAGCCTTTTAGGCCCTATTTGACAATATAATTGCATTAGAGTAATTTCTTTTTTTTTTCTTAATGATATTATCTTGTCTATTTCTTGCATAATTCACTAGTTTTGTGAGTAATTTCTATTCTAGTGTTTAGAATAAGGGAATAGATGTCTGGACAAAGTCACAAAATCTTTCATATCAACCCTTAAGTTCCTGATCTTGTAATGCAAGCTCTCTGCAAGAGAAAAAGTCCTAAAGGAAGGCCATGGTCAAAGGAAAATGTGGGTTTGTAGTTGAAATTTTCAGTCACGATGCACAATTCACAGAAACTTAAGTACCTGCAGCTCTCCTAAGCAGAGAGTCTCTTGGAATAATCACAGGCTCATTCTCTTCTAAATCACTTTCAGACTTGGATTCATCATCTGACCATGGGTTTCGTTTCTTCACTTTCTTTGCACTGGATTTTGTAGCTGATGGTGTTCTTCTTACCCTGGTACCTGCCACAAGTAAAAGCATTTACTACAGTCAGGGTGAAAGAAAAAAAAGAATCAGCTTTTCTGTTTGAGAGGCACAAATTGCTCATAAATTTTTATCTTAAAAAGTTGTCCTTTAAATGTTGTAAATTCCTCCCTGAAGAAAGATTTAACAGCGATGACATTATTTCACATAGAACCTGCTACTGCCAAACCAAATTCGGTTTATGACTGAAAAACATTAAAAAGTCTCTCATTTGAAGTTTTTGCTTCTCTGCAGTCAAGCTTTCATTTTTTTCTAAGGTTGTTGGGCTTTTCCAGGAGAAGAACATGCAGTTTTCCATTATTCAGGGAACACGATCAGAAAGAGTTATTGGAAAAATACAATAAGCATGGGAAGCAGAGGATACCCTATTGTGGGGGTAACAATGTGGTCAGTCAATTGCAGGGCAAGCTTGGGTCAAGCTGGGCTAATCAGCTCTGGCTCGGGCAGATCTGAGCTGCACGTAGACAACTCAGTCATAACTGTACTCAGTTAATCTATTCAGGTTGGATAATCCCCTGAATAATTAAAAACAGATCTTATCTCAGAAGAATTATTTGCGTAACCACATTTTTATTCTCTTCATTTTTTAAAAGAAAACAAACCCTCAGACTTAAACCTTCTGTTCCGTCTTTAGCACTTCTTGTTTCTGCATTCCTATTACTATGTATTTCTCAAACTGCAATAAGAAATTCCTACTAACAGAGGGAAAAAGGAAAGTGAACACAGACCTTGGTCAGTCTGATGAGCCATAATATGCATAACTAACTCTTTAAAAGTCAGGATGACTGGGTATGTCAGTAGGAAAATATATGTATTTAATCATGTTTTACAATCTATGCCATTCTTCAGACTGAAGGTGAGTGACATGTCCTTCAGCACCAGAGAGCAGGCAAATTAGAAATTTCAGTTTGCACAGAATTAGCCTAATTATGTAAAAATAATCTATTTATCTATTGACAAATTCAAATATTTAGACCCCAAAAATTTCAGACCCTAAAAAATTCCGAATATAGAAAACGTAAGATCCACCAACCCCAGAAAAGCAGCTTACAAAAAGAAATTTCAGCAGAGTACTTTCAAATATTTCCACACATCTCTTTAGGGAAGATCAGAGGAAATAGTGATTATTATGCTGCATTTTCCTTCTATGTGTTAAAAATGTATTTCATGCCCAATTAGTGTACACAGCTAAGGTTAACTATGGCTGTGTAAGGATCTTACCAGGCTCCTTCTTCTCTCTCTTAGGTTTAGGGGTTTTAGTTGCTGCAGCTGATGCATTCAGTGAGTCGTCCCCACCACCCTCAGCTGGCACACCACCAAATTCTTCATCAAATTCCATTTTTATTGCTAGAGAATCAGTTTCACCCTAAAATTGCAAAAAAAATTGGGCAAAATAAAATAAATTACACCTTTATATTTCAAGATAGAACTGGAATAGTTTTGCAGATGATGATAAATGAAAGCAGACTAGTATATTGACATTTGTTGAACAGTCCTGGAAAGAAGATATCTCAATAAAAACACCTGAACAATAAGCAGTCACAAGAGTGCAAATGTGAACAAAATCCAGTACCAACTCTCCATGCATTAAGTCAGCAAAATAGTATAAATACAGCATTAATGAGGTCTAGCAGTTTGGATTTGTGCTACCAGAGTAGAAAAACATCTAAGTTAAATAATAAATAATCTAACTACAGCAATGTTTTTGATTTACCTTTTTCTTTTTCAGCAGTTTCCTACTGGCGTCAGCTTTCATGGCAGATGTAATCTGTGGAACTATTCTTCTGCCAAATGGTGATGGCATAGTCTCTTCCAGCTGCAGTTTCTTCATCTTGGGTTTACCAACTTTGCCCTTTATTGGCTTGCCAACCATGCCAGCCAAAACATCTTCTCTTTCCTGTGCTTCTACTTTCTAACAAACAAGGGGAGGAGGCAGGATGGGGGAAACACATTATTTTTTAATGAGGACAAAGTGAAACATGGTTATTATTTAAGATTCAACCCCTTTTTACATGGAGCATAAGACTTCCCTTAACTTCCACTTCAGTTGTAACACACTTTCCAGTAAAGGAAAACCCAACCACTTAATCTTGGTAACTTCTTCATTACCCTGTAACAGTTAAAAACTACACTTTCATTCAAGATTAAATACATACAAACTATGACTGAAAATCTTTGTTTTATCAAGTTTTTGGTTCTCATGTATGTGCCTGTGTACTGATGTAACTTTCCAGTACTTCAGCATTTGACTTAAACATCTAGTTTCTACAGTCATTGTTAAGGCACATTTTCCAATCCTTCAATCAGCCTTTTTCATAGTATGAACAAATAGCTGAAATACAGACATCAAACAGCACATTTCCAACTGCAGCTGTACCACAAACACACAGAGAAATAAGAGAGACATCTTACTTCTATTACCCTGTGACACTTCAGAAGGTTGCATCCAGCCCTTTTCAGGCAATATTGAAAGCTAAGGCCCAGCAAGTTATTCACCAACAGAGTTTATCTTTTTCCACAGCTACTGATGAGGCAAAGTAAGTGCCCCTCATACAGTACTTACGGTCTACACACTTCATTCCTAAATGTACAGCTTTGTATTTGATAATACTTATTGCCCCACAAGCATTGGATCTTGTATAACTACTGTAGTTATTACTATTAAAAGCTACTGCTCCCAGGTTTTTGTGTCATCTGAAAACAAACTTTCTCCTGGTTATTTTTTTGTCATCACTGACTTGGAAAAAACATTAAATTGTATAGATGCAAGAGACAATCCCCAAGGAACACAACTAGGAGCACAACTAGGAACACAAATATCCAATACTGATTTCCTAATTATCATTATATTTGGAGATCTACCTGCTTTCAATTCAAAATGTAGTAGTTTTGTTTATTATTTTTTGCTTAAATTTTAATACTTTGAATTGATTAATGCTGTTAATGAATTTAAATTTATTGTTTCAGAAATATATGTAAAGGAATACGTACTTCAAGCTCTTCGACAAAGGCAGCTAAATCTTCTTTCCAGAGATCTGAAGGAGATTTCCTTTTAAGGTCATTTAGTTCTCTCTCCTGAAACATGAACGCAGTATGTTAGTTACAACTAAAGCAAACACCATCAGAACTGAGCATTCCCATTAGGCACACCAGTAATTACTATATCATTTCAGCACAAGCCTTCGTGGTGTACCGACCTTGGAATCTCTCTGCTTAATTAACTCTTCCACCTTCTCTTTTGTGAGTGACCACAGAGACATGTTTAAGATATAGTTAAAGTCAGGGCCAGAAGTTGAGCCAGAAGCAGAGGAAGCATCATCATTTGCATTCTGTGAGTCCTCCTCTTCTGCTGCCTGAAGTGAAATATCCACAATTAAAAGCATTAATAATCTTAGCTCTATGCATGAACTGTAACACTGCTCCAAAGCACCAGTACAGAGTAGTAAGGTGTGCCCTCACAGATTCAATAACCTTAACATTTTCTGGACCTTTCCAAAAGGCCACATTCCTCTAACCTTCTAGAGTTCCATTATTTAACCATTTGATTTAAGAAAAGAAATTTGAACCTGATGCTAGTCACATGCCTTGTATGCTATTGGCTACAGATACTGGTACTATCCGAGCTGTCTCACAGGGCTGAGACCTTTGTCCTTTGGATATTTATGAGTATCTGTTCCTTTTGGATAAAAACTGGTATGAGAGCCCCGAATGTACAAACTGAGGATTGGAAGTAGACCAAAATTTCTCATAATAGTAGTTTTGTTATAAAATACAATGCATTGCATAGAGTTAACATACAATACTAAAACCCCAAATCAAATCAAATGAGAAATGAAAACAAATAGCTAAATCAATGACAATGACATGGAAAAGGGTTGGCTGACAGAAAATTGAAGCTGTTTCTCAAAGTAGTTCCATCATCTCAGAGTAATGCACAAAATTAAACTTGCCACGTATCTCTTTTGGAACAATAAAAACCAGAGATAAATATAGATCAAGGTCAAATTTACCAAAGTAAGTTCAAAATTCATAGCTTTATAATATTCATGCTTCATTACAGAAAAGCAGCAAATAAGTTATATCAAAATAATTACATTTTGCAATCGTATGACAAATACATACAGGGGAAATTAGTTATATGCGTGGGGTAACTGATGTGGCACTGTATGTATCAGCCAGTCAGAAATCAAGTTGCCAGTTTTGATTTGGGTACATTAAGAAAATCAATCCTCTGCGTTCTCATTTTTCAGACTTGTATTATCTAGTTTTCTTCTAGGAATAATCCATATACAATACCAATATTATGTGACCATATTTTTGTATGTTTAATGTTTGTTTTTTTAAAATGGAAGCCAATAAGGAGTAACAAACAATGTTTCTTAAGGTCTACATGTGTTATAAATTAGACTACTAGAAAGCAAGCATCTGAAACAAGTAATATAATTTATAACACTAACAGTATCAAATATATCCAGGGATTTCAGATTATTACCTTTTCCTGTGCTTCTTTCCAGGCTTTTACTGGATCAGATTCATAACCTCTCTGGACCAACATCTGAATCAAATCCCTTTTTGATCTGTTCTCTACAAGACGCAGCCAGGAGGGGAAGAAAATAAACCACAACAGGAAAATCAGTGTCATGAAAATAAATGTCTTACATGCAAGTACCTTCTACTATACTTAAATAATTTCAAGGTTTTCCCCACTGTTAACAATTCTGACTTATGTTTACTCACCAATAGTAATTTTCCCTTGTATTTTCTCCAGAATGAAACGAGCCTGATTGTTGAGCTTGGTGGATTCTGCACCCAACATTCCCACCAGCCATTCCTTGCGTAAACTATAATAATGTAATCTCAAATCAAAGAACTCCTTCAAGATGTCTTGCACAGTTTCATACTTCTTTAAACATCCCATGTGATCAAACAGCACCTACAAAATACATAACATACTTCTTGAGGGGGATTGCAGAACTCAAATTTTGTTAACCTTTGTGCATGAGTTTATTTCTATTGCACATATAACTGCACCACACAAAAAGTGGCATTTTGAAGACTGTGAACTCAAGACTACTGTGGAATTACACAGCACATCACTGGACAGATTTCATTTCTGTTCACAAGTAGATTTAAGGCAAGATTGATGGTAACATATTCAAACCAAAAGACAGTTATATAGAGAAATATGCCTGAATTCACTTGAATGACTAATTTTAGCTAAATATTAAATCAAATTTCAGTACCAACTAATGATTCATAACTATTTAACATAATAGTTGAAGATCTTAATGATCCTTAATAATCTTTCGGTTCAGCTGTGAAATCTGTCACTTTTGAGCTGTAAAAACTGCCATCCTTCAAGTTCAAGCACAAAGTAAGAAATCATTTTTACATCAAAGGTGGAATCAATCCTGCCTGACTTCTGACATCCCCAGTTTAGACATTTATAGGTGAACTAGTCACCCTCAGTGCCCTCCATAGTCAACTGAAAGAAATACACCTCTAGAGGGCAATTCATCTGTCCAAAACAGCTATTTGGGAGTTGAGGGACATTAGCTAGCGCACTTAACTTTTTAAGATGCTTACACTGGGGCAGATTAATTCCTACACATGTACAGAAAGCAACCCTTAATATTTATTTCAGTAGGCAGAATATGCAGGATTAAGCTGCAAAACATTTTGTAACCTGTGAAACATAAAATTGATGACAGGTTCTCACAGTAGTACACATGGCTGTTTAAACGTGTGAGAAATACAATCACTTTGATTTGGCATATTTGCTTTTCAAGTACAATCTACAAAATGGGTTGAGCAAGGCCTGTTTCTGCTTCCAATTCTATCATCTTTCATTTATTTTCAACCTACTTTTACATAGCTTTTTATGCATACAACAATAACAACAGTAACGATACTTCGTGATATTATCTGAAAGTAATATCTGCCATAAAAAAATAAACTGGTTTTTAGGTATCTGTAAAGACAGGTTGCTTGGAAATACTCTGGCAGAAACAATGCACTGTTCAATACCAAAGGACACTACAAAAACATTTGAGTTTACAACATGCAACAGTAGGGATTCTGATAGCCAAACATGAAAAAGTTACCATAGAATTACAAGTAAGACTTGTTTGAAGCTTAAAGACTTTGTGCAATCCAGCAGCTTCTGCCTGTGCAAGCTTTTCTTCTGTCATCTTCACAACAAATTTTACAGTTGTATCAGTGTGGTATTCCTTATAGTCAGAAATTAATGCTGGAGTTTTTTCAGTCCCATTCAACATAGGCTCTAGAACCTGTTCTTTGTACACCTGTTAAATATAGGGCAGCAAAAACCAGAAACACTTAAAAATCCCTTAAAATTGTAAACCAGCTGAACAACATACATTTTCAAAGCTTTATGCATTACATCTAGTACCAATTATAATTTACAGAGTCAGCATCATCTGCAAAATGCAGGCCCAGACTAGCACCAGCATGAGAGGACTCTAACAAGGACAGAAAAGGCCAC